TCTCACTTCTTCAGATGCAAGACTTCTTCTTGCATCTGAAGAAGTGAGATTCTTACCCCCGAAAGCTTATGCTCCCAATACTTCTGTTAGTCTTATAGGTGCCACAGGACCCTCAGTTCTCTGAAAACATCCACTCAATGTGCAGCAGCAGCTGTCAAAAAAGCTAACAAAATGTTAGAAAGCATTAGGAAAGGGCTAGATAATAAGACAGAAAATATCTTAATGCCACTATATAAATACATTGTACACCCATATCTGGAATAATATGTGCAGTTCTGGTCACCCCATCTCAAAAAAATACATTAGAATTGGGAAGAGTGCAGAGAAGGGCATCAAAATGAGGAGATTAAAAAGATTGAAACTGTTCAGCTCAGAAAAGAGATGACTGACAGGGGACATGATAGAGGTCTACAAAATCATGAATGGTGTGGAGAAATAGACTAGGGAAGTGTTATTTATCCCTTTGCATAACACAAAGGGGGTCACCCAATGGAATTAATAGACAGCATAACAAATTCTTCTTCACACAACACACAATCTGTGAAACTCATTGCCTTGGGACTTTGTGATGGCTAAAAATATAACTGAGTTCAGAAAACATCTAGATATGTTCATGGAGGATAGGTCCATCAATGGCTATTAGCCAAGATTGTCAGGGATGCAACCCCATGCTCTGCTTGTCCCTCAACCTCTGACTGGCAGAAACTGAGGCTGGATGACAGTGGATGGACCACTCGATCAATTACCCTGTTCTGTTCATTCCCGCTGAAACATCTGGCACTGACTAGTTGGAAGTCAGGATACTGTGCTAGATTGGTCTGACCCAGTATAGCTATTTTTATGTTCTTATGTTCTTAACAAAACCTGCATTGATTACACCGGAAGAGCCATGAAGGCCAGCATTCCAGCAGATTGTACCACTATAGGCACAGGGGCTTAAGGCAATGATATTTTGAGTAGTATCCTGAGTTCCTTATACACCATCACAAATTTATACACACACCCAAGAGTAATACATGTTTCATGTTTGCATCAGTAGCCAACCATATGGGGCTAAGCTGAGTCCCTCTTTACAGTTGCCTTAGAGCAATGTTTAAACATGGTTCTGACTAAACTGTATTATAACACTGTTTGTCAGGGGCAAATGAAAATTTGGGCTGTAGCTTGGTTGTGAAATCACGTTTCTGAAAAATAGTCTAAACTGATTTTGGCCCCATCCAGACCAGCTACTCAGAAAAACTGTGTTATAAGAAGATTAGCAACAAGTGTACCAGAATTCTGTTTTTGGTTGCATTGTTGTAAATCCAGAGCTGCTCCCTTTTTTGAGAACAGAATTTGGCCCATTGCTAAAAGTCCACTTCTTAAACACAGATATGAAGCTAGTGTAGACTGGCTTTTAGAAACAAGTTGCAAATCCTGTTTTGTGCACATTCCTCTTGCAGTAATTTGTGGTGGGTTTTTGAACAGATCTGAGGTAGCTGTTCTGGGGCTAGTACAAGTATCATCTGGGTTTGGCCCTTCCACAGTCACTATGCCATTATTTCATCGATATGCAGGATTCCTACAGATACTTTGTGTTCCAGCCTTATTGGAGCATATCTAGCTAGGGGCTCAGACCTCTGGGGAATTCTGGAAGCTAACTGTTTCTATAGTAAGTTACTACAGAATCCTTCATTTTACACTATGTAACAGAGGGGAGTACATGTACATAAGAAGGCTTTGTTACAGCAGAAAATATATAGGACATACTTCTAACAATAAAAAGCTATCTGCAGTGATGAATATTTATAATAAAGTTAGAAAGGAAGAAAGAATATAAAAATGATGGGAGACAAGGAAGATACGAGGATATCCCTTTTATAGGATTTCCTGGTTTTGAATCTTCTGTTTTTCCCAACAGGTGTGAACCTACTAGCATTCATCATAATAGTGTTTTCATATGTCAGTATGTTTTACTCCATTCAAAAAACTGCCCTTCAGACATCAGAAGTAAGAAGCAACATTCACATGGATGCTTCTATGTACTTCATACCAAAAGAAAATGCTGATTATCTTCTAAAGTTCTTTATTTCATTGTGATTTTTTCTAGGCACTGTCACTTTCTGGATAGTGATATTTATTCTGCCAATAAACAGTGCCTTAAACCCAATTCTCTACACTCTCACCACCACTTTCTTTAAGGAGAAGTTAAAGCAGTTACTGCAGAAACATCGAAGGAGGTCGGTTTTCAAAAATGACAGAAAAAGCTTGGCTACTTCAATAGTATGGACAGATGATTCCTTAATTCATGCCTCCTCTCTTAGACTTGGATTTTTAAACAAATAACTTTTGGGGGCTGAGTCAATAAGTTAATTTACGAATGATGGTTTCTCAGCAAGAGCATGAGACTTGGAAGTACCAGAATTAGTTATGTTAATATTTTTGAGATTCATTTTGAAATGTCTTTGTCATTACCATCTTTGTATTCATCTTCCTGTAAGATAAAATGACAGCTGTTGCTTTTATCATTTCAGTTTCATGTAAAGGTTTCAGTGCAATCACACTGTGTGTTGGGGCTGAAAATAATGAGGCATTTTCATTATTCATCCCACTCCCCATGAAGCCCTAATTCCTGATGGAATGGCAGAGACTAAATTAGCTTGTCCTTTCAGACACTAAGTGGTGCGGGAGGGGAGGGGAGGGAAGAGATGAATTGGAGTAGGCATTAAATTTTACACCCTGAAATGTTTTAGACAGTATTATAAGGTTTGAGGTCATGCAGTAATCCTATTGTCATCAGGAAAATTGGAAGCAGAACTGGTCTAAAATGACAGTGCAGCTGTGACTTTTCAGCACTGACTCTCGAGGTCAAGATTAGGTACAATTCAGAGGGTAATGAGAGGTTGGAACCTGAATTTAAAAAGGCAACCACTGCATTTAGTCAGTAGCCATCTAAGGGTAGGATTGCCATTGGCCACTTCCGAAGGGATCACCAGATGACAATATGTCCTTTCAAATTTCTACTTCAGTGTACTCCCCTAGAAATACTGCAAAAGCGATTCATTCCAGTACAGTACTGCCGTGAAGCGGTGCCAAGCAGGCAAAAATCTGGTGCCACAGTTCATATAGCTAGGCACCTCTTGTCTCAAGTTACAGTTAATGTGCACTAACCCAGAAGCCACATGGCTTTTTTTTTTAATTTGTCAAGTGGTGTCCATACTTTCACTCACTTCAATTTCTAAAGAATTTCTAAAGTGATTTTTGACAATTATACTAGTAATTCCCCATTATTGTCTCTGTAACATTGAATAGATATAGATGAAGGAGTCTCCAAAAGTACTTTGCCTCAGTGAGATTGCACTGTACATTGCATGGTGTGAGTCTGGCTAATATTTCTCACCATGGGCCAGATAGACTGCTGGGCAGGGTGTCAGCATACTTCCTATGTGCCACATATGTTCTAGTTAAAGTCCTGTGGGACTTATGTAACATATAAGCTTTGTGCTTGCTCTCTGCACAGAGATTAATTTCTTTTAGCACATAAGGTAACCAATCAATCACATAGGACATCAGAGTGTTATTTTTATTTTTTTTAATAAACTAAAAGTAAAACTGAGTTAACCTGCCCCTCCCCACTGTTCAAAGATAGAGCTAAGTAGGCCCCATACTTTTTTGTTTTGTTTTTTTTGCTGTTTTGTTTTGTTAAGTGCTCCCTAGAGCTGAAATCATTTGTGATGGGACACCGTTTCTGCCCAGCCTGCTTCAAGTTCCCCCACTAAGAGCTGACAATCAGTGAGAGCTGGGTGGAACCTCAAGAGACTGACATGCAGAGGTCACAGCAGAGAGGCAGGTGGCAGCAGAAGGTGACCAATAAATAGCTGGCGAGGGCAACCAGCAGAGCAGCAAGCAAGTGGCTGGTGGGGCGGCCAGCAGAGCAATGAGTGGCTGGCAAGGCAGCCAGCGGAATGGTGGCTAGTAGGGTGGCCAGCTAGAGCAAGTGCTCAGATGGCAGAGCAAGCAAAGTGTCTTCTTCACTGGGTGGGAGGTGAACTCACGTAGATGCACCTCTGAACCCTGAGTCCTCACTGACCAAGGACAACCACTATGAGTGGGGTGTGATGAGGGACCAGAGAGGGGCACAGAAAAGGAACTTTTGGTTGTAGAACTCAAGAACATGAAGCAGAAGACACAGCCCCATGCACTCTGAGGTGGGTGACCTGCTCACAGTTTTATGATTATGAATCCAGCTTGTGGCATTTTCCCTAATTAATGTCAGGTGACTTCCCTCCTTTCATTAAAAGTTTCTTTTCTACACTCAGACTCTGTGCTTGCAAGTGGGGAAGTTCTGCCTCTCAGAGGTGCCCAGGGGTGGTGTGTAATTTTCCCAGGTTATTGGGTGGGGGCTTGAGCTGGTTCTGAGTTGTATCATTGAAAAGGAATCCCTAGATATTGAACTCAGCCCTGGTTGCTGCCGGCTCCACCAGGTAGAAGGGCTACAATAGCAATGCGCTATATCAACCGGCAAGGGATACTAAGATCATCCCCACTCTGTCAGGAAGCCATACTTCTATGGGAATGCTGCATTTTGCACCAGATCACACTGGTAGCTCTGAACCTTCCTGATCTTCAGAACACACTTAAAGTTGCATTTTTCAGGAACATAACTACAACGTTAAGTGAGGAGTTACTGTACAGTAATTGCAAAGTTCTTGGTTCAGGCTTGTAGCAGTAATGGAATAAACTTCTGGCTTAAGTCAAGTCTCTGGCTGCTTCCAAATCATTGGAGGATCCTCAGTCCATTGGTTAGAATGCTTCCATTAGTATAAGTTCATAGTCCAGAGGCTGGAGCAGGATAGAGGCAAAATGAAGGGGATTCCAGGGCCTTTTATATCTTCTGCCCTGTGGAGGGAAACCCATTGTTTTAAACAAAAACCTCAGCGCAGCTAGTGGAAAATTACAGGTAAAAGATGGGAATTTGGAGTCACATGGGCAAGTCACATGTTCGTGCCCAATTTCGCTCAGTCATTGCAGGAAGCCATTACCTATACTCCAGACAGCACGTTTACAGGACAGTCCACTCAGGGTAAATGAGTGTCTCCCATGGTCCATTGTGAGTTAAGTGTCCTTTTGATGGGCCAGTCAATTTGAATAGTCCCTCCAAGATGTGCTGGATAACTACTTTGTTAGTTACCCCAGGAGCAAACATTTGAAATACAGGTATAGTGCCAAATTCAAATACAAAAATGATACATGTATACAGATAGCATAATCGTATCAAGCAAATCATAACCTTTTCATAGACATCTTACATGCCACATTTTGTACAAGATATATTGCAAATATATAATAGTGGTTGCAACAATGATCTATATAGTCATATTTTAATCAGATAACATCACAATCCACTATAGGCTTGTTCTTAAGTTTAGACGGTAGCCTTCTTCCCTCTTTGGTCTTTTGCTCTTGTTATGAGTAGTGCAGAAATCATGCTTTTCCCTTGATGTGAGACTATTTTTTCTTCATAAAGTTAAAGGAAATCCTGTTATACCCAAAGTGCGGGGGGATGGGGGAGAGTGAGTAATGAGGCCACCCCCTTGTAAACCTGCTGGACTTAGGTCCTATTTCAGTTGAGATAAGAGTTACATATTTTTAAGTGATTCTTGATCAATTTTGATCACTTGATTCCTTTTTCTCTGTCTGTTCCCCACATCATATTTATTTTTTTCTTTTCCTGGTCTGCCTTATCCTGAATCCCTTCCCCCCCCCCCCATCCCCCACC